CAATACCTGCTCAAGAAAATCCGGCTCAGCAGCTGATGCATCCCATCGATTATTCAGCACGAAAATGTTTGGCTTCGACAATTTTGATGAAACTTTGTGGAAGAAATTTTTTTCCTGAAAAAAAAAAACAAGACCTTGGACAGTGAAACTGCAATACTGTAATCCGTAGCCCCCAAAGAAGAAATACGAAGCACAGAATTACAAATTCACTAGCGTGGATTCTACCAAAAAGAGAAGAAAAAAAGATTTACTCCGCGGGTAAATTCGTTTTTCACAAGAATAATTTTTTGAAAAAAATTGTCATGAATACATTAACAGGGCCTAACGAAGAGTCTCTCAAAAGATTAATATTTGGTCTCTGCAACGAGATTCCACTTCAGATGGAGCTCACAAATGAATCCAATCCCATCTTCACTTTTCATAATTTTATCTGAGATTAATTGCTTGACTCTTTTCTGCCGATGAGGACGCGACAAACATTGATAATATTAACAAAAAAAACTCGGGGCTTTTACTCGCGCAACCTGAGGCGATACTGCTTCAAGTGACGGATTCCGCGGCAGATTTGCAAGCATGATAGAATGGAAACCTAAATGCTCAGAATGACTGAACGAGGCTCCATTTCAGCAGAGAGGAATCTTCAACTCACAATGTTTCCGCGTAAAGTAGTCATAAAGTAAAGTAATCTTTATAACACTATTCTGGCACTAAGACAACCACTCACCGTTCGCATGAGTGTTGACTCCGCATTAGCTACCAAAACAAACACATCGGCGTCCACGCAGTGTTGATCTATCCAGTCGTCAAGATTAGGAGAAACATCAACCCCAGGGCTATCGACGAATACAACGTCGTCACGTAACAACGGACATCGGTCCACCGGCCAGTGCACATACGCCATTGCACTCTCGTTTAGCTTCTCTTCACATAATGCGTGTCCTAGTTGTGCTACCGACTGTCGAGTTGATCAAAAACATCTTATTTATTTTCGCTGATCCAGCGGTTTTTTTTAAACGGAAGCAAGATACTGTACACGAAAAACAGCATAGTTCGTGCACTGCAAACTTTCATTCTATGGTTAGTGAGAAACAAGAAAAAGAATGAAAGCTTTTTCCTGCAAGAGCAGAATTCACAAACAGTTCTACACTATTCCTCTAGGGATGTGAAAGCATCGAGGTGTGATACATTTCCCTGACTGCACGGTTCAATTTGCTTTTGCATAAAAACCCCCTGGATTGCTCTACCCTTCACTAGGTCGGATCTAGGTTATGCCTTGATTGCTTGCTTGTTCTTTGTTGTTCAGATGATACCCGCACATCATAGAAAAATTTTTTTTCAAGAACGAAATTTTGAGAAAAGCGAACAAATGTCGACGCTTGGATGAGTTTTTTAAATGCTCCTCCAACAAAGATTTGCAGACAGAACATACCGCAACATTACGGCGCTCATTCATCCCTTCCAGTGTCAAATATGCATCATCTGTCTCCGACGCACACACTTGCAGGAAACAATTCGTGGTATGTCCAATACCGGATGGCAACACTTTGTCCCTCAACATAGCATTAATAACGGTACTTTTCCCGTTACTCGTTCTGTGAGAATCACAAAAGAAAGAGAAAAGGCATTTGCAAATTTCTACCAAAAATCAGAAAACAGAATAAAAAAAACTTAATGCAACCTACCGTCCAAAGAATGCCACTTTCATGTGATCTCTCTTAAGAACTTCTCGAATCCCAGCAACTTTTGCTCTGTAGGATTCCACTCCATCCCGAATCTCGTTTGTTATGATCGATCCCACACTCATCCCTCCTGAACGATGATTAGATTAAGAAAAAAATATGATTACGAAATTGAGGAAATGAATAAAATGGCAGCTATGAAAACGACGAATTATACAGTTGAGCACAAACGGTGACAAGAAAATTTAAAACGCGTTCGGATTATCCACCTCCGCGTTAATTCCGTTAAAAACTGTATTTCCCACAAAACCCTTCCGAAATTTCTTTTGATACGGTAGCATTGAAACTTCCGTTTCAATTTCAAAATTGTTCTAAACGTTCAAATGTTCGCGAGAAAATAATCCGGTCAACGTTACTACTGTACTTCATAGTGTCACAGAAACGCGTGTGAGTCAAAATTTTAACGATAACAATTAATATTAAATCTAAAAATTCAGATTCATGATTCACGAACTGATGAAACACTCGCGAAAAACTTCAAAAATTCAAATTATACTGTAATACGGCGATTGTCTTTCGGGGGGGGGGGTCTGCCTCCATGAATTGTCCAAAACATCAACAATACTGTGACCTCTTTAAAATCCCGGGTGAAACGTCGACAGAATTAAATGGGAGACGAACGAGTAGAGATTTTGAAGCAAAGCGCCTCAATCACCACCCCTTCGATACTACGGCAACGCTCGTACGCACACAGGAGAAATAGGGCAGCAGATGGCGCTCGAGATACTTCAGCTCGAATGAAAGCAACCGTGGCTGCCAATGATATTCAAACCACACTTAAAAAAAGAGGGAAATCCAGGGTCGAAGTACGAAATACCTTGTATGACCATTTGGGATTAAAATTTCAATAAAATTTTGCACAACCCTGACCCAGTAGCAAATACGGGGCCACCAAAAACGTCAACAGACTGCGCATTATAATGAGTGAGCATTTGGTTCAAACGGACTGAACTTACCTTTAATAAAATCCAAACACTCGACGACGTAAACATCCATCTGCTCAAAAATCTCGTTGGCCGATCGTTTGGCCTGTACAAAGATTTTGAGGGGAGACGTGGGCGAGTCTCGGATTCCGCGTCCATCGTGCAGTCGCGGCGGTGAATGATGATTTGGGCCATCTCCGCTCATGTGCGCCATCGTCATGTGCCGTAAATAGGCTGCCATGTGCGAGGTACTGTCTCACTTTTACCAAGTGTTCACTTCGCACTCCCCTCTTTTTAAAATAGTTCACACACCCTCTCGAGACATATCAGTTTCAGCAGCTAAAACGCGTCGCGCAACGGCTAAAACTAAATCACGCCTGGAAAAATAAAATTAGCAGGTGAAAGATAGATTTTTTAAATGTCTTGCAGTGAAAATTAAAAAAAAAAAAACAGAAACAACGCCGCATCAATCCGTCACTTTTTTTTTAGTGGTGAATTCGACGAAAAATATTACGGTAATACGTATTTTATGTTCAGTACAGTATAACGAACAATTTTTCGCATTCGCTTGAATTCTTCTGATACTCTCGGCTTCCGAGACATAATTCTAGAACTACTCCCGGGAATTCCATTCTACTTCTGAGTTGCGCGAGAATGCAGCGTTTAGAGACGCATTCAGGATTATAAATAATGCGCGTTTGTAAACTGACGGAATGATGCGGAGAAGCGCGCAGCTGTCTGAGTCACCTGAAAGCTCGCATGCATAACATATTAGGATTTCACGCACGAACGAAGGATTAGACAACAAATTTGAAATTGACCTGAGTCCAGAGGAAAAACAACCTTTCCAGAGAAGAAAAAAAATGAAAGATATGAATTCTTGCGAATCTTTCAAGACTTGATCTTGAGAACAATTAAGTAGGACAACTTCATGCGTGCAAGCTTTCAGAAGAAAGACACGAAAAATGAATTCTGACATCCCGGTTTGAGTCGATTTACTCGAATCATTCACCGCGAGATCACAGCACATTCTCATTAGTGAGCCTATATCAGCTCTGCTTCATTTCTCAGATACTCCCCAACGTCAGATTGATGAAAGCAAATTATCGTCATGGGATCTGCATTTCTACATTCCGCAGTTGACTTGGCCGAAATTCCAAACCCCTGAATCAAAAAATTATGAGGATGCATTAAAATTTTCATCACTTCTATAAATTTCTTGCTCACCAAAGGAATGTCTGCCATGTTATAAATGACAACTCCACGATACTGCGGCGTGTTTTCCGTAATTCTCGCAAGTCCTGATTTCATAACGTTGTGACCGTAAAGAAACTGCTGCTCTGCCGACGGTTTTAGCCAAATCTTGTACTAAAAAGTAACAATCCAGTCAAAACACCGTTTAGATCTACATAATGCAGGGGTTGTCGAATTTTCACTTTTTCTTTCAGCATTTTCCAGACTAAAGAGGTTCATTTAATTAAAAACGTCGTCAGTAACAAGTCCTGTATTCTCATTATTTACCGAACTGTATTTTATGTCAAGGATAATTTATGAAAAATAAAAAAGGCACGAGCACGTCGACACTTCCAATGGAATCTCATTTTAGAATAGATGATTTTTCAGATTTTCTGTAAGCTACTTTTTCAATTAAGCGAAGTACTGTATTTCATTAGTTGGATTCTTCCAAAAGCTTGAATGATTAATGGCTGGAAAGCGATATTGCACGTGTTAATTTAAAATTTTTAAAAATTTGTCAGAAACGACTTAAATTGAAAGCCATCAATCTTGCGTCTAGAGTCGCAAGAAATGCGTTAAAATCGCTCATCAAGCGCTAAAAAGGAATTAAATTGACTGAAAAATGTTCGAACAAATTATTTTGATTCTCTTAGAAGTTAGAAATCAAGACAAATCTCATATTGGGCAACAAAGAAATACTGTACCTGACAATACGGCGCTAGGTATTCCAATGCTGTAATGCCCATTCTGAAATCGTGCTTCTTCTTGGTGAACTTCCCGAAGCACGTGCCGACTGTCAAGAGATGATCACGACCGAAGCTTGCCGATCGTTTCATCAATGCTTCTGACATGTAATAAATTCTTTCTTTGTGCAGCCTGAAGCAGTATCTGCCGTCTGCTCGGTCAAGCAATGCTTTCACATTATCTCCGATACTGCGAAAACACGATCGATTAGACAAACGAAAAGCATTTATAAAATTCAGGAGGAAAATACTCACAATTTCGAGAGCTTTTCAAAAAATGCCTTAGTTTCCTCCTCAGTCAATGGTCGCATATTCGTTCACAGTGTCTCACAAGATAACTGCGAAACAACGACGTGAAACTTCAGAACGAATCGTACTCAGAACAAAAAAATTTACAGAATGATCCCATGAATCAATGCAATCAAATCTTCGGTACTCGTCTCCAGATCACAATATCGCCATTATCGACGGCACAACAACTCTGTCCGCAGAGATAGCAGAAATCTGCCATCAAACGAAACCATGTGCTGTATTATGCAGAAGCTAGTCACCACCTGTTATAGCTCAATTCCACGAACATAAACAAAAAAGCATCCATAGATAGAACGGATATTGAATCTCAACGAAGAGGTAGTCAAAAAGGAATATATATTTGGGTAGTAAAGTCCAAAAGATAGAGGCGTCAACGGTATTGTGGGCAATGCTGCTTGATGATTTTTCGCGCCGTATCGGTATTGCCTAGCTGCACTTGAATATAAAGAGCCATCAACATGGCTTGAATAGGGATTTCCGCGTTTGGTTCCTTGAATTTTGATAACTGCTTCAACGCCTCCCCAGCCTTCTCTAATTCCCCACGAAACGCGTACGCGACTGTCAAGTTGTATTGCACTAACACTTTCGCAGTGCTCGCGTTGTTGGGGAACCATTTCCTCGTGTGCTTCAATGCCTGGGATTGTTGGATATTGCCAGCTGTCGTCTGCGTCGAGGCTGGCTCTGGATTATCGAAAGGATTACGACCCTAAAAATATTTAGAGAAAGAAATATTTAATGCCACATTCACACAAGAAATAACTATAAAAATGCAAATGTAAATTCATCATAATTCTGCAACAGGAATAAAGTTTAAAGATCGGATATATCATCACGCATAGTGTAAAAAATTCGATTGAAACGTAACACAAATGCAACTTTAAAAATAGTTAAAAATAAAAAAAAAGAACTAATGCCCAGACAATTACGTCAAAATACGGGAACACAAGTGTTCAGTTCCTTTAGTTCTGGTTCTTCAAATAGTAAATATAGAATAGTTTCACATTTTTTATTCCTTTTTGTTCAAGATTTTCGACCAAAAAAGCAACAGTTACGAAGGGTGAACCAGAAAGAAACAGAACGTTTTCCGAATAGAAATATTTCAACCCAAAAATAATCACGTTTAGAGAAAGACGTAGTCAGTCTATGTCTCGTCAAATTATATACCATTCGAAAAATAATTGAATTACATCTTATTTTACACTATGTTTTAAAATCAAACGATTTAGTTCACGGTTTAAACTTATAATGTAGTTCGAACTTCGAACCATTCAAGTTATATTGCTTCTTCAAAATATTCTCCATAAAAATAGATCTAACGTGGTGAACGCAACAATAAAATGTCCGACAAGATAATAACCACGAGTCGTTAAATTTTAATAAAAAGTATACAGTACGGCATTAAAAAATACAAAACATAATTTTGACATTGTTTCCAAATAGAAAGAAAATTTGGGAGAAACTTACATGCAAGTGCGCGCCAAAATCGCTCCCCACGTCGTCAGCAACGAGGTGAGAAATCGCCTCGGAAATCCGATCCTCCATGACGAGGGCTTCCGCGGTATATGAATGCGCCAACAGCCGGTGGGTGATGGAAAGGTAAGGCTCGCATTGCAGCAATTCCTTTGTGTACTCCAACGTCTGGCGTGAGTTAAACAACCGCAAATTCACATACGCCGCCGCAATCAGCACACTGCAACGCAGATGGAAGGCTTCTCGCGGCTTAAACGTCGGCCCTGGTACCGTCTACCACAAAAAAAAATATTCACGTAGACATGAATACTGTATATATTTCAATGGAAAACCGGTTCACGAATGCTTCGACTAGAACTGCCGCGAATTCTGTACTGCGGGTTCGAAAGCACGTCGTACAGAAATTCGGCTTNAATGGAAAACCGGTTCACGAATGCTTCGACTAGAACTGCCGCGAATTCTGTACTGCGGGTTCGAAAGCACGTCGTACAGAAATTCGGCTTTGAAAAAATAAAGCTTTCGAACACTGAATTTTAGCAAAATATTCAAGCCATGCAAACTGGAAAACGGTTGCTGGCAAATTCAACACGTAGTTGCTAGTTTCAAAATAAGCAAAAAATTAAGTTGGTGACATGGGGAGGAAAAAAAGTATACTGTACTACCGTACTCACTCGAGTACCACGTGCAACGGATTCCCAAAAAACCGGGGTAAAAAATTAGGCGCGCGTCATACTCGAGAAAACAATTTTATTTTTACATTTTTTCTAACTACAAACTTTTTCCTCCGCTTGACATTTTTTTTGAAGTTCTCTTCTTTCATGATTCTTTGTTACGCATAAGACAAAACATAAACACCGAAATGAACTTTTAAGTGAGCTTGTATTTAATGTTTTACCCAAGTAGTTTTAATTTAAACATTATACACTAATACAATACTGTAGACAGTATTTGGGAACTGAAAATTACGGAGCGCATCTAATGTGAGGATAGAATGTTTTCCTACTCGAGTAAATGCGGTAAATTATCATTAGAAA